CGCGCGCGCTGGGGAATTCATCTGGAGCTCAGTCACGAGCACAAAGGGTGGCTCATTCTTGACATTGTCAGGAAGAAGATTGTTCCTGCGTGCGACGTTCTCTTCTATGAGCGACTCACCTTGAAGCAGTGGATTGAGGACGAGTGACGCAACGAGGCACGTGGCTACGTCAACAGCGGTCGCAGCTTTGCGACTCCCGAAGATGAAGCGGCAGTAGCAGCACTAGACCGCGACCACACCGACGAACATCCCAACATCCCGCCTCGCCCGCGCGACGACGACGACGATGACAGTGACGACGGCCCCGCACCAAGCAGAGCCAAGCACCACAGCACCCGGCTACGAAAGCGGAGACGACGACGTGGTGGAAGTCTCCACCAACACAGACACCACCAATGTGTCAGGCCTTCAACTTCTCGGCCTGCACACGTCCGTCACTACCCTCGCACGGGCCGTGGAGCCAAAGAATCCTCGCCAGGCCCTAACCGGCCCTCACGCCAAGGAGTGGCGTGCAGCGATGGATGCGGAGCTGAAAGCGCTGGAATCTCGAGACACATGGGTCCTAGTCGATCGTGCAGCAGTGAAGGGGAGGAGGGTACTCAGCGGAAATTGGGTTTTTCGACTGAAGTCCAACGCTGACGGCACTATCGAGCGCTTCAAGGCACGCTGGGTCGTCCGTGGGTACGATCAATGCCATGGCATCGATTTCGACCAGACCTTCGCTCCCGTCAGTCGTCACACCTCCGTCCGGATTCTACTCGCCATTGCCGCCGCTAAGCACCTACCACTGCGACAGATCGACGTGAAGAACGCGTTCTTATAGACGTTGGTGGACGCTACCATCTTCGTGGAGCAACCTCACACCTACGAAGAAGGGGATCCTAGGGTCTGTCAGCTGAAGAAGTCCCTCTACGGGATCAAGCAGGCGCCTCGCCTGTGGCAGCAGCATCTGCACAAGATTCTCCTCGAGATCGGTTTCAAGCAGCTGCCACACGACCCGGGAATGTATCGCCTTCACTTCAGTGGCGATTACATCCTCTTGACAGTCTACGTCGACGACCTGCTGTACACGGGCACCTGCAATAAGCTCCTTAACCAGTTTGAGGAGAACCTGGCGCAGCGCGTTGACATCACCATCAACCACAACGTGAAGCAGTTTTTGGGGCTGAACATCACCTACGCGCCAGAAACAATTCACATGTCAGCCTCCAAGTACGCAGAGCAGCTGGGAGAACGCTTCAACATTTCGCCCACACCACTCTCAACTCCGTACCGCAACCCCAACACCAACTACAAACCGGACAACAAACCACTATAACCCGCAGGACTCCAACTGTACCAGCAGCAACTGGGTTGCCTGCTGTTCGCCTCTGTCACCTGCCGACCCGACCTTTCGTACATCGCTAGCCAACTGGCGCAGTATTCTCGCAAGCCAGTAGCTGAGAACCAGCTGGACCTGGAGCGCGCCCTGCAGTACGTCATCTCCACGCCTGACATTGGGCTCTCCTACTCCACGCTGACGACGACCTCCTTCAACGGCTACGTGGACGCAGATCATGCAACTGACCCTGCAAATCGACAGTCTCGAACTGGCTTCATTTTTGACTTGGAACCAACCGGGCCAATCTCCTGGAACTCGCAGAAGCAGGAGCTGGTTGCCCTGTCATCGGCTGAAGCAGAATACATCGCCGCGACAACAGCAGTCCGCGAAGGCTTGTACCTGCAGGAACTGCTACAGGAGGCGAAGATCCCAACCTCGCCTACCTTTCGCCTTCACTGCAACAACCAGAGTGCCACCAGGATCGCGAACAAGCTAGGTTTCGTGAACTGCACGAAGCACATCGCACTTCAGTTTTTTTTCGTCAAGGACGAAATTGACCAGGGAAAAGTTGACCTCGCCTACTGCCCGACTACTGAGATGGCAGCAGACTTCCTCACCAAGCGCCTGCCACGTCAGCAGTACAAGCATTGCTCTAACCTCACCGGAGTAGTCAAGCGAGTCAGCTCCTCCTGCGCCCAGGAATGAAGGGGAGTGTTACGATATGAAATTACATGAGAAGGCATTCCTGTAGGCTGCAGGAGCCGAATCTACCGAGTACGAAGTCGAGGAGTCAGAAGAGTCAAAGCGACGCAGCAACCGTCTGATCAAGACCGATGCAGGCAGAAACATTTGAAGTGAAAAGAGCGGGAACAGGTTTGAAACGGGTTCCCGCGCCGCACGGTTTGAATTTTGCTGCAATAAGGGAATGTACCCCTTAGAGTACATGGCTAGTCTAGGTCTTTTCGTATTCCCCTGTATTCTTATATAAACCCGATGTATGCATGCTCTTATCAACTCAGTCATTTACATTCACTCTGACTTGAGATTCAAACTTCCACTGCAACACTACTCTGCGATCAACCCTGAGCGATCCTTCGTTAAGTCCCACTTGGGATTGTAACAGAATGGCAAAAACGTGGGAACCATAGTCAATTGAATCAATTCCCACATTGTCGTACTTTTTTGTGCGCTTGAAAAATGCAGCCCCATACCCGACAAAAACGTGAAGCGTTCACACATTTTCAGGGTGACGTGAATTGATGGTGTGTCATGGCGCATGCAAATTCATTCACGCAAGACTGTTTCTTCAATTTTCAGAATTGGTGTTCTATAACGAAAGTCTCGATTCACGCTGTATGATGGGGTTCCGTGGAGGGAGTGAGAGGTTGTGGGATGGGGTTGGGTGGAGGGAGTGAGAGGTTGTGGGATGGGGTTGCGTTGTGGCCGTGAGGGGCTGTGGGATGGAGTTGCGTTGTGGCAGCGAGAGGCTGTCGGATGGGGTTGCATTGTGGCAGTGATAGACTGTGGGATGGGGTTCCGTTGTGGCAATGATAGGCTGTGGGATGGAGTTACATTGTGGCAGTGATATAGCATGTGTCTGGTATGTGTAGGCTTGTATTGTGTGATGTGCTGCACACATGGGGTCCTTGGCTTGAAGCTAGACCCGAGACTCCAATCATGGTGGTACCGTCATGGGGGGTCGTTTCCGAGTCCCGACCCGAGACTCCAATGGTGGTGAGGTGGTGGTGATGGAAGGGATTGTGCGATGTGTTGCAGGCTTGGGGTCCTTGGCTTGGAGCTAGACCCGAGACTCCAATCATGGTGGTACCGTCATGGGGGGTCGTTTCCGAGTCCCGACCCGAGACTCCAATGGTGATGAGGTGGTGGTGATGGAAGGGATTGTGCGACGTGTTGCTGGCTTGGGGTCCTTGACTTGGAGCTAGACCCGAGACTCCAATCATGGTGGTACCGTCATGGGGGGTCGTTTCCGAGTCCCGACCCGAGACTCCAATGGTGGTGAGGTGGTGGTGATGGAAGGGATTGTGCGATGTGTTGCAGGCTTGGGGTCCTTGGCTTGGAGCTAGACCCGAGACTCCAATCATGGTGGTACCGTCATGGGGGGTCGTTTCCGAGTCCCGACCCGAGACTCCAATGGTGATGAGGTGGTGGTGATGGAAGGGATTGTGCGACGTGTTGCTGGCTTGGGGTCCTTGGCTTGGAGCTAGACCCGAGACTCCAATCATGGTGGTACCGTCATGGGGGGTCGTTTCCGAGTCCCGACCCGAGACTCCAATGGCGGTGTGATGGGGGAGCAGAGGGGCTAGTCGTGCTGCTGCTGCTGCTGCTGCTGCTGCTAGAGGCTGATCGATCATAGGTGAACCAGGTACGATGTGTTACACAGGCCATGTGTGGCACCATTAAATACATAAATCAGATATAAAAGTTTTACAATGATAGTTTACAGCCATAACTCTCCCATATGCTCCACATCAAAGCGGCAAGTGTGCTCTAAAGCAGGATCAGCGATGACTGTCCCATTACCCAACATGCCCGCGAAAATGGCAAACGTGCTAATGTATCGAGTGAAGCTCAGCAGCACAGCTCCCTTACTTAGGAGCGCAAAATCTGCCAACGTCGCCAGATAATCCCCACCAGATTTTGACAAGTGAACAGCAGGTGAAACCGAAAAATACACCTCGCCAAAAGGCCCTAAAATCTCCACCACTTGTGACAGAAGAATTTCTGTATCTGTAGACACAAATATCCGCAGGTGGCCTAGATGAGTGGCTGAGGGCCCGCCAGGTGGCACAATGGAGGCCACAAGAAGCGAATTGTCAACCGTCCATTCATCCTGCAGCCTCACCCTTTGCTGAAGCTTCCTCCTCCTTTCCTTCTTAGTCCCTACTTTGGCACTTTCCTGTGCATACTCTGAGAACGGCGAGAAGGAAAGGCAAGGGAAAAAACGGGTGCAAAAAGGATGGATTTACAGGGTCGGGATAGGAAGGGAAGGCAAGGGGAAAGCAACAGAGGAAGGTGCAGGTTAGAATATAGGGATGGGGTGGAGTGGAGAGCCAGGGGAGATGGAGGGGCAGAACTGGGATTTTCTTGACTCAATGTTAATGGGCAGCTGTACCAGAAGATAACAATTTACCGTTGGCGGCAGCATGAGAGGCTCATCAGGACTAAGAGTCTAAAACTCGTGCGAAAAAAAGGGGTTTTGAATATAGGGATGGGGTGGAGTGGAGAGCCAGGGGAGATGGAGGGGCAGCACTAGGGTTTTCTTGAAACATATTAGAAGGGCAGCAGTACCAGAAGATAACACTGTAGTAGCAGGATTAACGGTTTAAAACTCTTGTTGGGAGGAGTGGAGAGCCAAAGGAGATGGAAGGGCAGCACTGGGGGTGCAAGGAGGGATGCAAAGGCTTATGGTAATGGCTGATGGTGAAATGGATGATGGTGAAATGGATGATGGTGAAATGGATGATGGTGAAATGGCTGATGGTGAAATGGATGATGGTGAAATGGATGATGGTGAAATGGATGATGGTGAAATGGATGATGGTGAAATGGATGATGGTGAAATGGATGATGGTGAAATGGATGATGGTGAAATGGATGATGGTGAAATGGATGATGAATGGTGGTGAGTGGTTACAGTTTTTGCCTGTCTTTGCTGTACCTTTGCCTGACTTGGTGGCAGCGTTGGCAGCAGCATTAGAGGCTTTACCGTTGAAAATCCCAACAGTACGGCCTGTAGAATTGGCTGACCCATCAGCAGCGGCTGTAGCATTGGTGAAACCTCCAGCAGCGGCCTTCTTGATCCGTAGGAACTGCATCAGCCTGGCAATGCAGCGCCACTGCCGTGGCTTCATGTATGCATGCTCTCGGATTTGCTCTCCCTTCTGCGCTTTCTCCTGGCATATTTTGTCCTTCTTGACACAGTAATCGCCCTCCACGTTGCTGGAAGGGCAGAAAGAAGGGGAGAGAGAGAACAGAGTGCAGCACATGAGCATGGAAAAGGTCACTTTTGAGGCGCCTCAACTCAAAAGTCGCCTCAAAAAGAGAGCAAACAGTGTGCAGCGCATGCGCACGGATGAGATCTCCCTGCTGCGCTCTCTCCCAGCATTTCGAGACGTCTCAAAACCACGTGAAAAAAGAAGAGTTTTGAGACGTCTCAAAACCACGTGAAAAAAGAAGAGTTTTGAGACGTCTCAAAACCACGTGAAAAAAGAAGAGTTTTGAGACGTCTCAAAACCACGTGAAAAAGGAAGAGTTTTGAGACGTCTCAAAACAGCGCATGCGCACGGATGAGATCTCCCTGCTGCGCTCTCTCCCAGCATTCCCTGTCCTTGTCGATACAGTCATCGCATATAGACCACACACAACCTTATCCAGAAAAATACCACCTGACAACCTTATGCTATGTGAGGCACCCCTTATGCTATATGAGTCACCCCTTTCTGAACCATCCTCGTATAGACCACCCACAACCTTATCCCAAACCAACTGACCTCCTTCGAACTGGACTCACATAGCATGCCCACGGATGTGAAGTGCCACGTCAAACTGCAGCCGCAGCCCCTCCCCTTTCGGAACCATCTGCGGCTCCACCTTCCCTCCTGTCACCTCCCCCTCCTTCCTCCCCACCTCTTCCCCTCGGAGCACCAGAGGCGGCACCACCCTCAAGTCTCTGTCGACCACGTCTTGCATTCCCGGCTTGGGGCCATTGCCGAGGAGGAGAGAGAGCACTTTGGAGCGGATGCACCAGATGGTGCGGCAGGAGAAGGCGTCGTGCACGCACTGGTTTATCTGGGGGTCGCCACGCCACAACCTGTCAAAGAACGCTCCTGGTGGGAATGGATGGGGTAGGGGGAAGAGGAGGGAGTGCAAGGAGAGAGCACTTTGGAGCGGATGCACCAGATGGTGCGGCAGGAGAAGGCGTCGTGCACACACTGGTTTATCTGGGGGTCGCCACGCCACAACCTGTCAAAGAACGCTCCTGGTGGGAATGGATGGGGTAGGGGGAAGAGGAGGGAGTGCAAGGAGAGAGCACTTTGGAGCGGATGCACCAGATGGTGCGGCAGGAGAAGGCGTCGTGCACACACTGGTTTATCTGGGGGTCGCCACGCCACAACCTGTCAAAGAACGCTCCTGGTGGGAATGGATGGGGTAGGGGGAAGAGGAGGGAGTGCAAGGAGAGAGCACTTTGGAGTGGATGCACCAGAGGGAGCGGCAGGAGAAGGCGTCGTGCACACACTGGTTTATCTGGGGGTCGCCACGCCACAACCTGTCAAAGAACGCTCCTGGTGGGAATGGATGGGGTAGGGGGAAGAGGAGGGAGTGCAAGGAGAGAGCACTTTGGAGTGGATGCACCAGAGGGAGCGGCAGGAGAAGGCGTCGTGCACGCACTGGTTTATCTGGGGGTCGCCACGCCACAATCTGTCAAAGAATTTACCTGAGAATGATGGGTGGGTGGGATGCAAACGCAAAAGGGCAGGGAGGATGGACGAGAAGCAGGAGGAGCAGCGAGCGCACTTGCAATTGGTTGCGAGAGTGGGAGTGGCAACCAAAGGTTTTTGAGAATTCTCAAAAACCAGTGGGAATGGCAACCAAAGGTTGGTGTTAGTATGTATTAGCATGCATTATTTGGAATAGATATGCATTGGCATATATCAGTATGCTTCAGTATGTATCGAAGCACATGAGTTGCAGCAGCATCTATATGCGGGCGGTCGGGAGTCTCTGGGCCGATTACGGGTCTACTATAGAAAATGACTGGCAGGCAAAGGTGATATGATATGATGTCCGCATTGGTGTGTAGAATTGCATAAACAAAACTCCGCTGATTAATTAGCAAACAGAAGGTACAACAATACGGAGTTTGCTTAATCAATGGGTTGCTGGGCTAGTAAATTTGGGAAAGGGAACTGATGTAGCAGTTATCACCCGCATGCATTTGCTTGTATAAATGAGTTGAATAGCACACCTGAATAAACAGCCACAACATTTGGGCTGTAGTCAAAGCCATGGATCTCGAGCTTTTTTGCATCCATGAGCTTTGCATGCCTGCCGATATCCCCTTTGTATCGCAACTCGTCTATCCCACAGTAGAATGCGTTGCACAAACGGTCTAAGACCTGGGGAATGTGAGGATGGGGGGAAGGGGTTAGTTTTGAGTAGTCTAAAAGAATCGTGCGTTACAAAAGCGGTCTAAGACCTGGAAAATGTGAGGATGGGGGGAAGAGGTTGCATGAGATGGAAGTGCGGCAAAAGGTTGGTGCATAGAGGGATGACGACTTGATAATGTGCAACTCTTTTTTTTAGACATCTCAAAATGAGGTGGCTTCTAGGAAAGGGGGTGGGTGGCTGATGGGAAATGAGGCGGTTTCAAGAAAAGGGGGCAGCTGAGCTAAGCAAACGAGGCATTCCAGATTGAGAGTCAGAAACAAGGAAGGTGATGCAGGAGAGGAATGAGATGGCTTCTAGGAAAGGGGGTGGGTGAAACCAGCTGATTTCAACTGTCAAAGGTGATGCAGGAGAGGAATGAGATGGCTTCTAGGAAAGGGGGTGGGTGAAACCAGCTGATTTCAACTGTCAAAGGTGATGCAGGAGAGGAATGAGATGGCTTCTAGGAAAGGGGGTGGGTGAAACCAGCTGATTTCAACTGTCAAAGGTGATGCAGGAGAGGAATGAGATGGCTTCTAGGAAAGGGGGTGGGTGAAACCAGCTGATTTCAACTGTCAAAGGTGATGCAGGAGAGGAATGAGATGGCTTCTAGGAAAGGGGGTGGGTGAAACCAGCTGATTTCAACTGTCAAAGGTGATGCAGGAGAGGAATGAGATGGCTTCTAGGAAAGGGGGTGGGTGAAACCAGCTGATTTCAACTGTCAAAGGTGATGCAGGAGAGGAATGAGATGGCTTCTAGGAAAGGGGGTGGGTGAAACCAGCTGATTTCAACTGTCAAAGGTGATGCAGGAGAGGAATGAGATGGCTTCTAGGAAAGGGGGTGGGTGAAACCAGCTGATTTCAACTGTCAAAGGTGATGCAGGAGAGGAATGAGATGGCTTCTAGGAAAGGGGGTGGGTGAAACCAGCTGATTTCAACTGTCAAAGGTGATGCAGGAGAGGAATGAGATGGCTTCTAGGAAAGGGGGTGGGTGAAACCAGCTGATTTCAACTGTCAAAGGTGATGCAGGAGAGGAATGAGATGGCTTCTAGGAAAGGGGGTGGGTGAAACCAGCTGATTTCAACTGTCAAAGGTGATGCAGGAGAGGAATGAGATGGCTTCTAAGAAAGGGGGTGGGTGAAACCAGCTGATTTCAACTGTCAAAGGTGATGCAGGAGAGGAATGAGATGGCTTCTAGGAAAGGGGGTGGGCGAAACCAGCTGATTTCAACTGTCAAAGGTGATGCAGGAGAGGAATGAGATGGCTTCTAGGAAAGGGGGTGGGTGAAACCAGCTGATTTCAACTGTCAAAGGTGATGCAGGAGAGGAATGAGATGGCTTCTAGGAAAGGGGGTGGGTGAAACCAGCTGATTTCAACTGTCAAAGGTGATGCAGGAGAGGAATGAGATGGCTTCTAGGAAAGGGGGTGGGTGAAACCAGCTGATTTCAACTGTCAAAGGTGATGCAGGAGAGGAATGAGATGGCTTCTAGGAAAGGGGGTGGGTGAAACCAGCTGATTTCAACTGTCAAAGGTGATGCAGGAGAAGAATGAGATGGCTTCTAGGAAAGGGGGTGGGTGAAACCAGCTGATTTCAACTGTCAAAGGTGATGCAGGAGAGGGATGAGATGGCTTCTAAGAAAGGGGGTGGGTGAAACCAGCTGATTTCAACTGTCAAAGGTGATGCAGGAGAGGAATGAGATGGCTTCTAGGAAAGGGGGTGGGTGAAACCAGCTGATTTCAACTGTCAAAGGTGATGCAGGAGAGGAATGAGATGGCTTCTAGGAAAGGGGGTGGGTGAAACCAGCTGATTTCAACTGTCAAAGGTGATGCAGGAGAGGAATGAGATGGCTTCTAGGAAAGGGGGTGGGTGAAACCAGCTGATTTCAACTGTCAAAGGTGATGCAGGAGAGGAATGAGATGGCTTCTAAGAAAGGGGGTGGGTGAAACCAGCTGATTTCAACTGTCAAAGGTGATGCAGGAGAGGAATGAGATGGCTTCTAGGAAAGGGGGTGGGCGAAACCAGCTGATTTCAACTGTCAAAGGTGATGCAGGAGAGGAATGAGATGGCTTCTAGGAAAGGGGGTGGGTGAAACCAGCTGATTTCAACTGTCAAAGGTGATGCAGGAGAGGAATGAGATGGCTTCTAGGAAAGGGGGTGGGTGAAACCAGCTGATTTCAACTGTCAAAGGTGATGCAGGAGAGGAATGAGAGTGTCATGGCGCTATGACGCATAAGCGATGCTCTCACACTCACATTCACTCCCCACGAGGCCCATACCCGCATGACCCCACGCCCATAAGCCCCCATTTACTTCTGAGTCGACTCAAAAATGGGATTGCCATGGCGCTATGACGTATTAGCAATGCTCTCATCATCACTCCTCACGAGGCCCATATCCACAAGACCCTATGCCATGCCATACGCCCATATACCCCCCTCAAATCCCCCCATATACACATCCCACATGCTCGCCCCATACCCTCTCTGCTCACTTTCTTGTGCAGACCCCGATCCCATGCAATATCCGCCAATGCACCCTCCACTCAACCCCCACCCCACATGCACATGCCATATGCTCTGGCCATGCCCTCCCTGCCCTCACATGCTTGTGGTTGCCCCCATGCCACCCTACCGCAGCAGCCTCCTTCCCGACAGCATGCTCCCTTTCGACTCTCCCCGCTTCCTCTCCACCCAACACCCATATTTCTGCACCATAACCAATAAAAACCCCTCACCTGCTTGTGGTTCCCCCCATGCCACCTCAGCAGCCTCCGTCCCGACAGCAAAGCAAAGATGAACGCCGAGGTGTACGCCCTCAGGGAGTTCCCCAGGCCAAACCGCGGCATCCAGATGAGCCAGCGCTCCTTCAGCAGAAAATCTTGTTGATCTTGAGGTATGCGCTCGTGATTCTCCACCTGGCGCTGGACCTTGCTGAGAAGCTTCAGCTCTGAAACACCAGCGTCAGAGCCCCATATGGGGGCGTTGACGTAGGCTGATTCAGGGAGTATGCCTTTACACGAGGGGGTGTTCTGAAAAGAAGGGGGAGGGAAGGGGAAGGAACGGAGAATACTTTTGAAGCGCCTCAAAACCCGCGACATCCAAATGAGCCAGCGCTTCTTCAGCATGAAATCCCGCTGGTCTTGAGGAATGGGCTCGTGATTCTCTTGCTGGCGCTGAATTTTGCTGAGAAGCTTCAGCTCTGAAACACCAGCGTCAGAGCCCCATATGGGGGCGGTGACGTAGGCTGATTCAGGGAGGATGCCTTGACACGAGGGGGTGTTCTGAAAAGAGTGGGGTGGGGGGAAGGGGGAAGGGGATATGAGGGAAGGAGGGATGGGCTCGTGAGTCTCTTGCTGGCGCTGCACTTTGCTGAGAAGCTTGAGTTCCGTTGTACCAGCGTCCGAGCCCCATATGGGAAGATTGACATAGGCTGATTCAGGGGGGATGCCTTTACACGAGGGGGTGTTCTGATAAGAAGCCCAGCTGCTGCTAAACAGAATATTCATCGCGGGCAGCAGCACTACCCTTAGCTAAGCACTTCACTTATCTTCATCTCACCTTAACGTCATACCGGGTGTTCCCCCGCATGAAAATGCCATGCCAGCTGGCGCCCAGACGAGCTTTCAGTCAACTCGAAACTCACCTTGATGTCGTACCCGGCGTTGTTCCGCATGAACATGCCATGCCAGCTGGCGCCCAGCCTCTCAACGGGCCACTGCCATTGGTAGTATCTTTGCGGGTCCGCTTTACTGCCCGCCTCCACGCCCAGGATTTCCTCTTTATTGCCCGCCTCGTTTACCCACTGAAACGCTGATGTAGCTTCTTCCCAAGGCCCGCCCACCCACCCATCCACCAGCCTCCTCCTCCTTTTTCTGCTTGACTTCTCAATCCGTGTTCTCTCTGACTTCTCCGGCACCCCTTCCATCCATCCATTCACCAGCCTCCTCCTTTTCCCTCTTGGCTTTTCAATTACTGTTCTCTCAGTATTCTCCGGCACTCCTGCCATCCATCCGCCCACCAGCCTTCGTCTCCCACGGGCCGTCCTCCCGATTCCCGGCTTGGTTACTCCACTCACTCTTCTCCTCACTCCCCCCAATCCCCTCAAACCACTCCTCGCCCCGTCTTTCCGCCTGCTACTCCTAATCCCCCTGCTCTTCCTCGTCCTTTGAACCTCAACACCCCCCTGCCCTTCCCTTTCAGCACTGCTTTCTCCCTCCCACGCATGGATCTCCCTAAAGACAGACTCGATAATGCCTCCTTCTTCTTCCTGATCTATCTCCCCTTCTTCCCCCTCCACCTCTTCCTCGTCTGTCAACTCGTTCGCGTCCCTTTCATCATCACTAATCTCAAGCTCCGAGTTTGCCTCTCTCTCTTCTTCCCTCTCCATCGCTCTATCTCCAGTACCCTCTTTCAATTCACCACCACTACTAGTACGAGCCTCACTGCTGCTTTCCATCTGAACCACCCGTGATTCTTCGGGTTGATCTCCACCGTCCATCTCTCTAATAAAAAAATCCTCCTCTCTGCTGTCGGGATCTGTTTCTGATCGTCCATTCCCCACCCCACGCCTCTCCTCCAGCGCTCCCTTCCCCTTCGCTATAGTCACATCATTCCAGTCGCATCCCTCCCATTCTTCGCACGGCAGAATTAGCTCCAACCGCGGATCGCAACTTGCCGGCGGCAGCCTCTTTCCATTACGCGTTAACGGCCTGCGGTAACTACCACCTGACGGCCGGTAGCTCCTCGCCAGAGAATTATTGCTCCGCTGGTTAACTGAATCATATCTTTCGTTCGGCGCTATCCACCGCTCAGTGCCCGTCCCTCGAGAGTATTTCCCGTCTCGAGAGAACAGTGCTTGATGGCCGTCAGTTGACGGGTATTTCCCGTTAGAGAATTGCCGAGAGTGTGACGCTCTGACTGGTAGCCGAACCAGCAGTAGAACTAGTAGTGAGATACTTAGCAAACGTATTTGACTGCAAATGATGACGATAACGCCAGCTGAGGCTGTCATTTGAGTGGGCACAAGGAGAACTACCACTAGTAGTGGTGAAAGGCGCAATTTCACGGCGGAAGGATTTTTTTTCCCGTAGATGGTGTCGAGAAACCCACAAACCGCAACTGGAAAATCGCTAGGTAGTTCAGTTTCTTTCGCACACGAGACAGAAAAGTCACGCAACTAACTGACGGGAAGCTGTTAGTTGCACACATCATGTTCATGCCTAGCTATTACTACTACTAGTTGCAAGCAAACGTGTTCACGCGATTGGCAAGAGCTATGGCGGCCAGGGTGGATCGAGAAATTCAGACAGAGGGTGAAGGCGTTTGTGGGGAAGGCTGGGGGGAATGGTTCTCGCTTTGCTTTAGGGCAGCTTTCTTTGATTGGCTGGCCTTCGTCACTTCTTGTTCCGACTTGCTGGTGCGGTATGAAGCTGTGCTCGGCAGTACATTTCGTTTCTGCTTTCACGAGATGCACGAATCCGGTTTCTACGTTCGCTTTTTCCTCGCTGGAAGTCATGTAGGTTCGCATCCGTAACAGTTCACCAGGTTGCATTGCTCTGATTGGTTTGCCTACGTCACATTTTCCAAGCTGTACATCCCTGCTGGTTACATCGGGGCTCTGGTCAGAACCTCTGGTCAAACCTCTCGTGATCCGAACTGCCAATTTCTCACCAGAGGTTTGACCAGAGGTTCGACCAGAGCCCAGAATGCACCCTTATTCTCATCAATTTTGCTAGTACTTTAGGGCGTGTAAAACTGTAACGACCAAAGGCTATGGTCGATCTTTGGGCGTTTCTGGCGAGTGCGAAATATGTAACACTCAAGCGAACCCCGCCACAAAATTCGTCAGCATTTGGGGCACCCACCCCAAACCACCCCCTTAATCAAAAAGGAAATGTTTCGATTCCCTTTACTACATTCGAAAGGGGTGTGGAATACGGGGGATCTGAAGCCTAGGCAAGAGTGTTTACCACAGCAGTGGGTTTAGGTAAACGGAAAAATATATCTCCCCGCTGAGCATCAGTTTAATCATGTCCCAAAATGCGGTGCGTAAATCTCTGTTCCGAAATTACCACTGTAAATCGGTCAGACCGGGGTGACTACTTCCATTGGCGTAACCCTAATTCCTAGCAATCGCCAGAAACGCCCAAATAATCGACCATAGCGTTTGGTCGTTACAATTTCAACTAAGTGATCTGGTCATTTCCTGGTACCGGTTAGTTCAATTAGGTGATCGGTTCATTTCCTGATACGGTAATACACTAGGGCGACCTTGAATGATGCTTATGTCAGTTCAATTAAGATACCGTATCTAACATGGCAACAACAAATATATTCCAATTGATGGCCCACCGAAATGGAGTGCTCGGGTCATATTCCAGCCCATGCTAAAGGACAACCATGAGTGTACCTCAATTCACTTCTCATAGCAAGTTCACTCGTGCGCTGATGTGCTTTCAAACAAAACAACCTAGTGCGGGCTTTCTGATTCTGAAGTTTAAAATTCATCCAAAACTTGCCACCTCACTTGCGGCCAGCAGGAGGCCCCGGGCGGCGGCCTCTGTCATCCTCATCATCAGAGTCCACGTCACCATACTGCCAGATGTGCAGCCGTGATTGGCGGGCCATCTCCTGCCTCTCCTTGAGCCCCTCCAGCACTGCTGCCAGGGCCGGGTTCCTCACTCCTCCCCTGCGCTTCTCCAGCCGCGCCAACCCAGCCTGCGAGTAAATACAACGCAGAAACAGATGGAAGGAGCAGAAACAACGGGGACGACAGAGAACAGGGAACGTGGAGGGAGGGTGGAAGGGGGGTGGAACAGATGGAATGGAATGACAGTGGAAAAAGAATGCATCTACACTAGTTCAAGTTTGAGTATGCCCCGTCACCCAGCACACGCCACTCCCCTGCCCGCCCCTTCATATGCCCATAACATACACTCTCTAGCTGCCCCACCCTATGACTCACCATCCTTTCCCCCAAAACCCTTTCATCCATAATTCCACCCTTTTGAAAGTCTCACCTGCAGCAGCGACGCATTCACGCTCGTCGAAGTTTCGCTATCCACCAGCGTGACCACCCAGCAAACTCCACTCCCCTGCCCCTTCACCTTGGTCCCCGCACTCGCATCCCGCTCCTCGACACGCGCCAAAAGTGTTTTCCCCCCCGTCAGCCCCTGCACCTCCTCCGCTGCCTCCTGCCCAAAGTCCTCCTCCAACCCCGGCACCTTCACGTGCGCCAGGCGGCACAGCTGGGCGAGACCAAGACCGTCGGATTTCCCGCGGGGGAAGGAGGAGGGCGAAACAGTGGGGTTGTCGAGCGGGCGCAGGCGGGCGTAGGGGAGGGTCTCCTGGTTGCCATAATCGATGTAGAAAACAGTATATTCGGAGGTGCGCGCTGGGGTGGGGTCGGCAGGGGCGGTAACCACCTGGTTTGGAGAGGAGTGTATGGGAGGAAGAGAGAAAGGGTTTCGGGTTTAGAATCCATTCCATCCCAACCATTCCCATCCCCGTTACGTTCCCAAGCATTCCCAAGTGTTCCCAACTGTTCCCAACCGTATCCCACCGTTCCCTACCGTTCCCAACCGTTCCCAACCGCTTCCAAACGCTCCCAACCGTTCCCAACCGTCCCCAACCGTCCCCAACCGTTCCCAACCGCTAAGAACTGTTCCCAACCGTTCCCAACCGCTAAGAACTGTTCCAAACTGTTCAAAACCGTTCCCAACCGTTCCCAACCGTTCTGAACCGGTCCAAACCGTACCCACCCATCCCAACCCCCTCTCACCCACTCACCATGGCGCGAGCCCAGCTGTCGTCCGCACTGAATTGCGCAAACACAAAATCGCCCTTCTTGGGCACAAACGTGCCGGGGGCCGGGGTCTTGGCATCACTCAGCTGGAGCTCCTTGATCGCCCCCTCCAGGCGCGGCAGCAGCCCTGAACCGCTCTCCACCGCATAGAAGAGCCCTCCGCCCAGCACCTCTGTGACCTGCACGTGCACCAGCTCCTGCTTGCCTCCCGCCTGCAGCAGCGAGGCCTCCGAGGCTGCCGCGTTTGCCGCGTCCTGCCCCTCCACGTACCCCTCCCACACCTGGTTGCGGGTGGGGTGGGCGGTTGAGAGGAGGGGAGGGGGGGGGAGGGGGGGGGGGGGAGGGGAGGGGGGAGAAGAAAGGGAAGAGGCAAGGAGATGCAGCACAGGGAGTGAAGAGTGGATGAGACGTGGAGTGAGAGCGAGATGGATTCAATGTGCAACTTCAGCAGACCACAGCCCAGTGAATAACACCCCGCGCCTGCCTTCCAGTGACCATAACCCAGCGAATAACACCCCTACAACAGCCCCACCCACCCTACAAGACAACACATCTCACCTTGAGGCGGGCATTCTTGGCCTGGGTCTCAGCAGAAATGAGCAAGTGCCCCTCAGAGGTGCGGTCGGGGGTGAAGGACGGGTGCAGCTTCGCCAGCCCTGCCTGCAGCAACAGCGCGCCGGCATTCGTGCGATCGGCCCACAGCGACCCGATGAACGTGCCCGTCTTGTCAACTGTCTCGACTTCGATCTGCGGGGGCCAAGTGGTGAAGGGACCAGAGGGATAGGGGGAAGGAGGTTGGGAACAGCATAAGCCTTAAGCTCATAGACGATGGGGGATCATGCAGACGATTTGCCAGCTAATAAACGCGGTTGCAT